GGAGCAGCCACTCAGGCAGGGCTTTCCTGTGGGAATGAGCCCCCCACGCCCCCCAGAGCGGTGTGAATGACTCCCAGTGCTTACGTCTTGGTTGGACATGTCCCAGTAGGGCCTCTCCCCGAAGGACATCACCTCCCACATGACGATGCCATAGCTCCAGACGTCGCTGGCCGAGGTGAACTTGCGGTAGGCGATGGCCTCCGGCGCCGTCCACCTGACGGGGATCTTCCCCCCCTACGGAAAAAGGCAGCTGAGGAATGGCTCCAATGGCTGGGGAGCCTGGACACCCGCCAGCTGGGGCTGGAGCCACCCCACACAGCCCAGGTCCCTGGGGACCCCGCTGAGGAGCGGGCAGGTGGTGTGCAATGGGATGAGGAGGCAGGAGCCGAAAACACCGCCGTGGATTCCTCTTGTACCTGCACAAAAGGGCTCAGCTTACAAAAACAAAGGTTTGTCACCCCCGGGTGACACCTCCCCACTCCAGCTGCCCCGCAGGACCCGGCACATGGGTGGCCTGTCCCCAGGTCCCTTCCCAGGGGACAGCAGGTGACACGGGCTACGCAGGACCGCTCTAGTGCTTGTCTCGGGTACGGAGCCACAGGTATCCCCATCCCTTGGCGTTCGATGGACACAAGGTCTAACCCAAGAGCATCCTCTGCAGCATCACTGGGCTCCCACCGCTGCTGAGAGGTCCTTCCAGCCCCACTGCTGGAGGGGGAGGCAAAAAGCAAATCACCTTCAAGCCCCAAAGGAGACTGGAACAGCAGAGTGCCTTCGGCAGAGCCCCTCATTTCTCCTAAAAGCCCCAAATGAGGCTCGGGATCCCAGCCACCCCACCAAGCCAGGGCAGAGCCCAGCGCCTGGCATGGGGCAGGAGGGGCTGGAGGGGGCAGGGATGCTGCGGAGGGGCAGCACGGGCAGAGGGACTGCTCCTGGGCAAGCATTGCTGGAATGACAGCCAAAAAAGCTGAGGGACGGCGGAGAACCACAGACACGCACGGTATTTACTGCAGGCACAAATGCATTGTGAATCATTTAGCACAATTGTTTTCCAGAGCCTTTCCGACAAAGTGTCAGCTGCTCTTGAAGGATGAATGGCAAAAAAAATTGATTTGAATAACTACAAATTGAGAAATTAACTGCTAGGTTGTTTTTCCTGCCTTTTCCCCAGAGCGAAAAACCTGCTGTGGGAGGCAGAGTGATGCAATCGCGGGCACAGCATCACTTCCAGCTGCCGGGGAGATCTATTATGGCCCAAATGACATAAAAACACAGATGAGATAATCTCTTGTACCTCTAAGGGTGGGGAAAGGCTACTTCATCCCTCAGCCCAGCAGCTATTGCCAGGGTCTTTGAACAAAACACAACCGATGGGGGTCTGCTCAAGGGACGCTGCAAGCAGGGAGCCGGCAGCTCCAGGGATTTGGGAAATGCCCTGCGAGCAGCGGAGAGGAGAGAGGGGCTGCAGCTGGGCCAGAACACGAAGCCAGCCTCCACAGCACCTCGGTGTTTCCCATTTTGGAGGCTGGAGCCAGCCCCGGCACCTGGGCACGGCTTGCAGCCCAGGACACGGGTGCTGCGGGGGGGACAGGCTGTGCCCGCACCCAGCACACGATCTGTTAATCCATCAGATGAGGTCAACGGGTTGCTCATCCCCTTCTCCCCTGTTCATCCTCAACTCGCGAGCCCGCTGGCAGGGGGACGGCCACGGCGGGGAGCTGGCGGCTCCTTGGGGCAGAGGGGGTTGCCATGACCCACCCCTGTGTTAATGAGGGAGAGAAGGGCAGCTGGGGAACGGCGGGACTCCCGTTAGGCTGGTCTCGTTAATTAAAGCCCTGGAACAAGTTTCCAGCAGAGAAAGACAGACTGGATCTGGAGCACTGGAGAAGAGGAGTTAAGACACCATTGCTGCGCTGTCAGGAGATGCTGTGATCTCCCTGCTCCCCTGCCCGGGCTCTCCAGGGACCCTCCTCCCTCCACGGAGGAGAGGGAAGAGACTCAGCTGGAAACTGCTGAGGGCAGAGAGGTGCTTGAGGGAGCAGGGAGGCAGAAAGCTCATAAAAGGGAGGAAGAGAAAAGAGAGAAAGAGGATGATGGGTGTGAACCACAGCCAGGGTCTCAGGGTGATGGGTGGGAACCACAGCCAGAGTCTCAGGGCCACCAGCCTACGTGGTGGGAACCCTCCTAAGATGCTCCCACCCATGGCAGAAGCTCCAGGGTGTACGTCCAGCACCCTTCTCCCAGGTCCAGCTGGCAGTGGGTGCAGGGCAGGCACGGGAGGTGCTGGGCAAGAGCAGATCTTGCTGGAGATACATACCAAGGAGCTGGTGTAGGTGGGGTCAGACGTGTCGTCCTGCAAGTAGCGCGAGAGGCCAAAGTCCGACACTTTGCACACAAGGTTGCTGTTGACCAGGATGTTCCTGGCAGCCAGATCCCGGTGCACGTAGTTCATCTCTGCGAGGTACTTCATCCCAGCAGCAATTCCTCGGAGCATCCCCACCAGCTGGATCACCGTGAACTGCCCGTCGTTTTGCTGTGAGCGGAAAGAGCAGGCGATGGGGTGAGCGTGCAGACCCCACTGCGGGACCAAAGCCGCCCACCCCTGACCTCAGGAGGATGCTGCACCACCCCAGGGGACCGCCCAGCTGCCCTGCCCTGCCTGCTTAGAGCAGAGGTAGGCCAGCGGCCAAACACGTAGGGTTTGAGGGTGCACAGCACACTGCAACTGCTCTTGAGCTAAGGAAAGAGACCGGGGTTCACAGGACGGGATGTCACCACCTCCTTCCCCAATCCCAGAGCTGAACAACAGCCTGCACAGCCCCACCTGGCCTTACCCGCAGGAACGAGTCCAGAGCCCCATTCTCCATGAACTCGGTGATGATCATGACCGGTCGGCTTTTGGTCACCACCCCTTCCAGCCGAATGATGTTGGGGTGGTCGAACTGCCCCATGATGCTGGCCTCGCTCAGGAAATCCCGGCGCTGCTTCTCCGAGTAGCCAGCTTTGAGTGTTTTGATGGCCACATAGATCTCCCGCTTGCCAGGCAGCTTCAGGCGTCCTTTATACACTTCTCCAAACTCCCCTGCAAGTGCAAGAGCATCCGCTACCACCTCCTCCTCCAGAGTACCGGTACCTGGAGCAGCCTGGTCTGCAAACCAACCAGCTGAGAGGTGTCAGCCGGTTACCACTTCACCAACGCTCTCCTCTATAAATCTACACACCTGTCCTCTTGGAAAGGGCCAGCATCTGCTTCTGGGGACACATTTGGCCTCGCAAGCCTCTCCAAGGCGACAGAGCCCAGCACCAACAGAC